GCTTTGTTCAGAGCAAGAGGCATCGCCAAGAAAAGCTCATTCTTTTCAAGGTCACGCTGCACCAGCATTGGCAGCGCATCAAAAAGCCTGGCTGGCATCAAGTCCACTCCAGAAAAGGGGTCAGCCTCCACCGCTGGCACATCAAACACCTGGCACTGGGGGAAAACACTGGCGGTGGACAGGTGGCACAGATCGAACTACTTTACTATTGAATGATCCCATGACATTTCAATCATTTGTTTTCAGGCCATGGTGGGGGGCACGTTGCCATGGTGATTAGTTTTGCGTTTTTTTTGATTTTGCTTGTGGGTCCTCGGGTTTGGGATTGTTATTTTAGTGTAGGGAGTTCGTGTCGTGATGTTGCCAGGGTCTATTGTATTGTTGTAGTTGCGCCCTTGTCGTTGTGCGTTTATGGTTGCGCTTGTGGTTTCTGTGTTTGTGGTTGTGTGTTGTGGTTGCGTGTGTGTGTTTGTGTGTTTGCAGTTGTGTGTGTGTGATTCCGTGTTTGTGGTTGCGTTTGTGGCTTTTTGTTTGTGGTTTGTGTTTGTGGCTGTGTTTCTGCCTGTGTTTGTGGTGTGTGTGTGTGTGTGTTCGTGGTTGCGTGCTGTGTATTGTGTGTTGTGTGTTTGTGTTTGTGATTGCGTTTGTGGTTTGTGGGTGCGCGGTTGAGGTCCGGTAGCGGCGACTGCCATCGGATGCCCACTGCGATCTGGCACTTGAGGTTGAGGTCCGGGTCGGTAGAGCCCACTGCGACCTGGAGCTGGCGGTTGAGCTCCGGCAGTGCCCTCTGCGATCGGGAGCTGGTGGTTGAGGCCCGGCCATGCCCACTGCGATCAGGAGCTGGCGGTTGAGGTGGCGAGGAAGGAGGAGGACGGAAAATGGAGTAAGGAGAAGGAGAAAGAGGAGAAGAGCTCTGATCAAATCAACTTGAAGAAGATGATTGTATAGTATAGACAGATCTGAAATAGCTCTTTCCCCACCATGGCAGTGGAAGGGCAAGCTACTCCAGCAGTCTACGCACTGCGCGCAAGACCTCGCCTGGATTGCAGAATCTCTGTACGAGCCATCGGCCACCTCGATGAACTGAAGCTCTTGCTTCGGGGCCATGCGCTTGGCACCAGCTTTGCTTTGGTGAATGCGAAAGTGCTTGCGGAAGAAAATCTCCAAGAGCAAGCGGCGGCCATGATAACCTTGGATGCTACATTCCCTTGTGAACAATGATGCGCAATACACGCAACCATGCGAGCATATTGGAAATCTGGCAAAGCAATGCTGGGACTTGGAGCAAAAGCTGTGCAGGCTGCTCGGACATGCAAGACACGTCCGATGCTTTCCCAACCCCTTTCATCCACAATAAGCCAAGAAACAAGAGTGCTCACTAGGTCTGTCCAGCAAGGCCAAGGTCAGCTTGTTGAAAGACCGCGCGGCCACCAAAGCGGAAGGGTGAGCGCTGCTGCCCAGGTAGAGCACGCAAAGCACTGACTCAATACGACCCACTTCCTGAAAGATGGCAGAATAGAACTTGGAGTTGTAGCTGAAGGGCCATAGTGGTACTGCCTTTCCCCGTTTCCCGCTTGATGAGTGCAGCTGCTCTATGGCAACTTCCTCCATGGCATCATCTTCATCTGCTTCGTCAGCCTGTGGATCAAACAGATCCACTTCTGCATCGTCTGCGAACTTGTCTTCCTCCGAGCGGTTGTGGGGGCAATTCGTGTCCCCACAGGTTTTACCAAGTCCTTCTGGTACAGGGCTGCGCAAGCGAAGGCACTTCACAAAAGTTGGGATGGCCGTTGAGGACGCAGCCCCCCGCTCAAGGTAGATGCAATAGTTTGGTCGTGCCGAAGTCTGGTGGGTGCCTGCGTTCAACTGAATGGCCCAGTGCTGGAGATCTGGCCAAAGCTCGGTGACTTTGCTGGCAGCTGTGGAAAGCACTTGAAGCCGGGGGCCTACATGGATGATCAAGCTCCATGATTGCCATGGCGCCAAGAAGCTCTTGCATTCATCCAAGTAAGATGCCAGCACCTTCATCTTGCTTGTAGGAAAGTCTGCAAACACAAGCGGGCGGCCTTTGCTGCTCACAGGAACTTCTTTTAGCCGATCCTTGAAGCTCGACATTGTCCTGAAGATGGTGACTTCGTCCATATCCATGTTGGCACTGGCCAGGATTTCTTGGAAAGCTGAATCCTCATCGCTCCACTTGATGCCTTTCTTGGCATTGGTCTCGCACAGTGTGGTGAACAAAGTCTCTTCCAAAGAAGACTCTCCTGGGAACATACAAAAAAGGCTTTGCAAGAATAGAAACAGGACGTGCGCAGCGGCTGCCCAAATTTGAAACCACATGCCTCCAAACATTGCAACGACAAACCGCTCCTGCACCTGCTGCTGCCTCAGGCTCGGTGGGGGGAGCTGGAACCTCAGCCTCTTGTGGATTTACCTGCGTGCTCTCTGCGCCAGCAGAAACAGCATCACCCGTGCTTTTCAGCAACTCCATCACCTTTCTGCAGTCAGGGACCCCTGGGTTCTCGGATGAGGTTCCCTCCAAAGGCGTTGCGGCACGGACACATGCCAACACTTGTTGGCGGCCTCGCGCCGTGAACAAAAAGTCCGCTAGCCTCTGAAAAAGAGGGGTGTCGCACCGTGCTCCATAAACCTTTGGGCAGCACAAACAGACACGGGATGCTTGCGGCACAAAGAAAAGAAAGTGCAATCACAGTCTGGAAATGGACATGCGTTCATCTTTGAGAACCTGCTCTTGATGCAAAACAGAAATCGGCAACCTGAGAAAGCAAGCAAGCTTACTTATGGAGGGGGGGTGTTTAGTTCTTCTTGCAGGGCCAAGCAACACGTTTCATTTTGCCCAACCAAAGCTCTGCCGCACGGATGGGTTTGCAGTAGTGCTCACGGAACTTAGCAGGGTTGATTGACTCGCCAGAATCCTGGTCGCTCTCCAGAAGCTGCAAAGCCACCTTCATACCATGAAGGGACATCTTTTTCTTCCTCGCTGGATGTGGTGTGCACACGCCACTCCCAGGCAACCGTATAAATACAGTTGTACACTTGTTTGACATGCCACCCTGTGGTGGTCGACCCAAAACAATTGCCCAATGAATTTAGGTGTCCGAGGAAGGTTCCCCGCTAAAAAGACCGACCGAAAAGCTGAGACACCCTTCTGTAAAGAACTCGTTGTCGTAGATGAAGTAGTTCGTGAAGTTGTCATTCTGAGCGCACAAGGCCAGCACCTGCAAAAAACAGCGGCTTCTGCGTGCGATTTCTGTGGGAAACATATGGCAAAGCGAGGTGGAACATGAAACCCAACCAAGCCCCAACATGAAAATGTAGGGTGGGCATGGGCTGACAAGAAGTCCTCTGCAGTCCACCAAAACAAATCCAAAAGTCAAAGGATGCCCCGGACCCCAGGTGCAAAATCTTTCCCGCAAACTTCAGGGCAAAAGGCATTCAACATCCATGGCGAGTGTGCGTGTGTCCCGCAGCTGCCAACAAACGTGCGCAAAAACGAATGTGGTCGTGGCTGTTCTACGGGAAACCAATGGTCTCAGCGAATGGAAAGCAAAGGGGAAGGAAACGGTCCAGAACACTCTCTAGTATCTGGTCATGTTCTGGGCTGCCTCAAAAAACCAAGAAAACGGGCCTCTGCAGGAAGGGTCAGTGATATCAGCCAGCGACCAATTGTTCGGCTCTTGCCGCTCCCATAGTACTGCCTCATTATGGTGCCCGTGTCTAGCGCAAGCCCCATGGAAGCTATTCCCTGTAAACACAAAAGAGCGTGCGTCAAAGAGGACACATCCACTTCCAAACAAAAGCGCAAATTGCAGCGAAGGAACACCATCGCCTTCCGTGTCTCATCCAGCTGTTCGCCGGCTTCTTTAAAGAAACCCTCACACACAGCTCTGATTTGGCTCAGGGTGGTGAAGCGACATCGGCTCGAATCTTGGTCGTGCCTCATGGCTTGCCAACGGATTCGCTGACTCCTGTCCAGGGGGTCTGTGTACTCCATAAGATCCATCTCCAAACCATTTTCCAAAATGGCTTTCACATTGCAAGGAACGGCGTCATCAGAAATCACCCCTTTGGCAACATCGTGCTTGATCTCAAGCAGCGCAGACACTGTGCTCAAACCATCGTCTATGAGAGCAAGGCCATCCGCATCCATCCCTCCATGAACAACCTGTGGACGGGCAAACAAAGATGCCCCGAAGTTGCCACTCATGAACTCTGCCTTCAAAGCAAGAATCCGCTTTTTGTCCTTGGCAGCTTGCACTGATTAACGCAGCACCAGGTTCTTTGTCCGGAATCATGAAACTCTGTAACATCAGTGTCTAATTATCCATGAGTTCTCTCTTCCAAGCAAAAGCTAGTTCCTTGTCCTTGGTAGCTTACACAAAAGACAATAGGAGAAGTCGAAAGATGCAAGCAGAGCGTGGAGAGACGGATGTAGATCAGCTAAGCGTCAAGAGGTCGATGACCACTGATGTTCTCTTTGGTGGACAGGTCCTTCGAGCAAGTGCTCTAATGACCATCGTGGCACACAGCTTTCCAATCGAAAAGAAGGTATGTTTCTACTTCGCATGGGCTTTGAATGCTGACAACCACATCTGGAAGCTTTGAGGACTAGTCGTTCCGCCACAAGCTTTGCGCAAATTGAAAAAGATAAACTTTGGAATTGAAAAAGCACACTTGTGGTCCTCTAGCTTCATGGCTTTGTTGCCCAGGTGCCGTGGCCCCATGGTCACAAGAGGACCTTTCCTAAACCACTGTTCACCTAAGTGCCCTGCGCTTGAGCACCATGAAGCAAAAGCTCACAAACATCTAAGCTTGCTGTCTGAGCGGTTTCCAGCTTCAGAACCTCACTAACTGGCTTGGCTGCCAGCCAACCCAGTTAAGCAGGTATCCATCCAAGCAAACGATTGCAAATTGATCGCCTTTGAAAGTCAACAGCTCTGACAATAGCAAACTCACTAACTTGGCTGGCTGCCAGCCAGCCCACTTTGTGACGTTTCAGCTTCAGAACCTCACTAACCGCCTTGCTTGCTTGCCAAACCACTGGGAAGTTGAACTGCCTGTGAAACTGCTGCTCTATCCAAAAAGGTAAATGTGCCGACCGGCACCCCCGTTGTATTTCGTTTGCGCGAAAGTGTTTTCACGAGAAAGCTGCATCATTCATGAAGCATCATCCTCTGCGCCAAGCTCGGGCGGTGCCCAAATCCGAGCCCTGTCACTGGCCCACTGCTTTCCCTCCTCCGAACCCAACCAATCTTTAAAGGCTGATTTCTGAACCGAAGGTGCGAGGGGTTTCTTCTCAGTCCGTCGATCCACTTTGAAGGCTGGCAGCGCCTTGCGAATCCTCACTGCGCGTTGAACATGCTCGCGGGTCTTATCATCCAGGCTTTTAGGTTGGTACAAAGCCGCCCTGTCCTGAACAGGGCATCTCCACCACATGTGTTTTGAACAAAGCAGGTGTACTTCCACAAAACATTCTTGCAAAAAAATACAACAGGCGCCAAATAATCCCATCTCAACAACACACACACACACACAAACCAGGTCAGTCTGGAACCCTCCACACTCCCCTTGCTCCCTTTTCTCTTGCAATGGTCGACACACAAGGCCATGCCAGCTTGCAGGAACCACCCAGCAAGCACCCAGCAAGCTGGCAGGCCACCAAATCTGTCAGGCACTTGGGCCATAACAGGGGAGGGAAGGCAGGGTTTTCACAAGCTGAGGCTTCCTCAAAGCTGAGCTTAAGGTAAAAAAACAGGGAGCAAGGAAGGAGGAGGGTTAGAGTGCTGCTGCACTTGGGAAGCAGGCTGGTCCAGCAACAATCAGCTGTCATTGGCAGCACGACAGACGGTGAACAAACCAGGGAGCACTGGCTGCACGGAGGGAAAGCAACAAGAAAGCCCTCAGGAAAGTACCATTTCCATTCAGTCCTATTAGACGAAAAAATGAAAAACAGTGTCTCGCAATCAAAGCAGTCCTTCCGGCTCTGCAAATTGCCAACGTCACAATCCAGGGCGTCAGCTAGCTCAGCCACAGGCCGGCTGCGTCGCGTTCGCATGGTGTGCAAAAATCGTGACTTGGCCATGATCCCCTTCTCTTCCCGTTTCCGCTTTGACCTCTGGGACAGCACCGGCTGCAAATGCAAGCGGTGCACTGCCACCACCGCTTGAACTATGATTTCATCAGAAGGTGCTCCAACAAATTGGGAAGAATTGCACCGAACACGGTGGCGATCCACCAGAACAGAAACAGGCACATTCTCGTGAATATCAAACAGCCAGCGGATCACGCTGTTGTCACGTTCTCTTCCATCTTCGCCTGTCGCCAGCAACCTGCAGCGGTGGAATGCCCGGAGAGCATGCCAACACCCCTTTGCAAATGTAGGATCAACATCCAAAGTGGCGGCCAAACTGGCAGTGTTTACAGCAAATGCTGCATGCACCACGCGAAGGTGGCGCTTTTGCCGATCCACCACCACTGCGAGCTCTGAAAACTCAGAAGTGATCAAATTCTTCCTCACCCACGGGGGGATGAGTGAAGCTCAAATCAAAGAAACATCAGCCCTGACATGTTTGATGCTCGTGAGCACGTATCGTACTCCAGGATACACCCACCCCATGCACACAATAAACAAACACGCACACACACAGACACAAACAAACAACGACAAACAAAGAAAAAACAAACAAACAGACCGACAAACAGAAACGGCCACCCCGCCCCAGACACAGACAGACAGACAGACAGACAGACAGACAAACAAACAAACAAACAAACAAACAAACAAACAGGACGGAGAGACGGAGAGACACACGGACAAACAAACAGACCGACAAACCGAAACGGCCACCCCGCCCCAGCCAAGCATCCGCTGGT